GCAAGCATTTAGGTTTACCCCCATGAGTCGCACTGTGATCGTCGAACTCCGTTCTTCTTTTGAATCGTTTAGGGCAGACGGAACATACAAACGGTCTTTCGTTCGTGTGAGTTTTCGCTCTTTGGGAAACTCTTCGGGCAGAGGGAGCACAGGAACGGGCTTCCTCCCGGGCGAGTCAGCCTGTGGAAAACCAACTGCTCCTTCGCCTCGAGTCCCCTGCGGCAGACGGAGCACTCGCAGGGCGCCTGGGCCCCGCTGGCGGCGACTGCTCCGCTCTCTTCCCCTCCTCAGAACGAAGTCAGTTTCATTAGCCATTCCGGGCGCCATAACTGCCCAGTCCCGTTAACTGCATTAGTCCTGTAAATGGGAATGTTTTTTGCTCGGGTGGTAGCATTGATATTTCCCATTTGGATGGCGAGATGGAGCGCCGACTATGTAAGTAAGGAGTGGAGATTGGATTGGACAAAGACGGAAAAGGAAAGATCACGCGCGGTCTGTTTGTGAGAGCCCTGCTACGGCATTCACCTAATCGGAGAAATCACGGAAAACTAGCGACCAGAGCAACCAGCTAGAATTCTTTACATATCGGCTGAACTGGACCTAACTGTCTAGCTAGTGTCGAAAATCCTGCTACCATCGGGGCTCGATCCCAAAGATTTCCAATCAGAGGCACAGCTGGTACATCAAATGATGCCCTGAGCCACCTACGCCGGTCAGTCCGTTAGCAAACGCATCTTACCACAATGAGGACCGGTTATCGAAAGCCGAAGAAACGGAACAAAATAGTTAACCACGAATACTCACAAGAAGCAAGTTTAAGGAGGATCTCATAAACAAATTCAACACACATCAATTTATTCTGAATACAACGGTGCTGATTTTTCGCTTAGCCCTGATATTTGTCCTCTGAAATACTGGGATCTTGCGACGTGTGATTTCGGTACTTTTGGCGTGACACTGCGACCTTGGTAGTTAATGTGAATGCAGAAACATTCATAAAATGTTCTGGAAGATTCTCTAAGAAATAAAAGTAAATGTATTTGATTAAAGCGAAACATGATACTTATATTACTTAATCTTGGATATGATGCTGACCATTTACTATTTTATTTAACAGATGCCGCGATGATTCTGTGTACCGTAGTGAAAGTCAAATTACGACATTTTGCTGGAGGCTGAGGAAGCAGCTGTAACCAGATTAGATTAGAAACAAGTGGGCTTCTGCGATTCCAAGGGGAACTGGGAGCCAATCAAGTCGTTCATTTGTTTGTGAAAAAGCCTTCGGAGACAACGGCGTTATTAATTTACAGTCATACAAACTGGAAGAAGGCGCAGTTAAACAAGTCCCCCTTGCTCATCCCAGGCTCCTCAAATAATGCCGTTCCTTCCAAATTCAACGGCGCACATTCGCATCTTTCAAAGGTAGACGCCACACCTAGAAGGGATCCCGCAGAAACAAGGGTGTTTTCGCAAAGTATATAACTTCGCAAAGTATGTAAAAGATTGCCAGCAAAGTGAGAATAAATAAATAAGTTGCAAACCTACCACTAGAAAAAAGGTTTTCTTTCCTCATTAAACCGTTTGTTAATTCCTACTCCCACATTCATACACACCCACAAAGATATATACGGGACGTGTTAATTGTCAGATCGTACAACGCCTTAACAACTGAAACCTAGGAATGCGCGGGAAGTGGGCAGTAGAGCAGCGTCCGAGATCTATCAGTTGATTAGTCGATAGCTACGTCCTGCGCCGAAGCGCATTTCTCCCAGTAACGGCAAGGTTCCGCGGTGCTCGTTTCAAATCGATAAATCAGGAACTCTGTGAGTTGCATAATTTTTCCTCACATGAGTATCTTGGCCGGGATTCCTTCCAACCCTGAGATTCTTACCATCTGCCAACCCACTGCCGCGGCAGCGGACTTGGAACAATTACGAAGCGGGCCAGCGTAGCCGGAGGGGTCTTGGCGGCTTGAGGAGCCCCCAGGAAAACCACGCGGAGGTGCCCCACAGGCCGGGCACTTTGAGCACTCGGCCACCCGCCGACTTGCGTTACCGTAAGACTCGCATTTCGTTGCCCCCCTCCCTTCTGCGAGCAAAGGGAGCTAACATTTTAAAAGGTGGAAGTTGAAAACTAAGTGGACAGTAAGAGTAGAGTTGGAAAGTGGATAGTAAGTAGGCTATGTACATACTTGGCCCATCGCGGTGCTTACACGGCGTCATCGTAGTCCATAAACTTGTGGTACATCTCGATCGAGGACCGGAGCGCCACGCCGGAGATTGTTCGCAAGTCCATGGCCGACGTGGTGCTGACTAGACGGAGGGTCGTTATGGTTTTCGGCCACATGGCCTCCGTGTCGATGGGGAGCACTTCTGCGGAGGTCGCGACCGGGCGAGCAGTACGGTACTTCCTAATTTTATCCTCAGCGCCCCTTTCGAGCACGTTTCTACCCTCGTGGCGGACAGTTACGTCGACCACGAAGGCCCCTTCCCCATTCAGACGACGAGGTCCGGTTTTAGACGGGGCCTGTCTGGGAGGCCGAGGGAGACTTCGCAAGAGACCGTTGTCCCCCGCTGCTCCAAGAGTCGCGCGACGGCGAAGTTTTGAATTTCGTCGCGCCGGTGAATGCGCGCCGCCTTGGTGCAGACGCAGAGGCCCAGGGTGTGCCCCGGCGTCTCGGGTGGCACCTTTGCAGCTCAGCTCCTTCTGCGGGATGGCCCTCTTAATGGCGGTCCGGTTTCCGGCGGTGTCGGTCCGGAATTGTGGGGTCGTCACGGAGGGCGGGCGCAGCCCAGAAGGCGTTGCCCGCCGAATCGCCTTCATGTGCCTGCGCGGCCTGTCCTTGGCAGCTCAGGAGGGACCGCTTGATTTCCTCCTCCTGCTGCCGTTTGCGTAGCCGGACCACGTCTTCAATCTCGCTGGGTGATGCCGCCCGTTTGAGCTGCCTTCTGCACTTGATGCCTCCGCAGAAGTGGTCGCCTGAGCGCGGCATTTTAAACCCAGGGAAAGCGCTACCCGGGGAACCAGTTGCGTAACCTCTGGATCCCCGTTTCTCGGGCTTCAATACAACCCGCCGTCGGCGATGCTCTTCGGGAACTTGAACGCTGTCTTGAACGTCCGTCGAACAGCAGCGCCCAGCCGCTCCAGGGAGGCCCGCGACGGAATCGCGAGCGCCAACGGGTGCAGGAAGTGCGGCTGGATGAAGGTCGTCCACGAGCGCAGCTTCTGGAATGGCTTGAGCCCTGCTCCCTGGAGTCGCCCCAGTGCTCCATCCCACTGGTCTTCCATGAGCCTCGAAGCCCCGCCACGGCAGGCAGTTCAGCCCCAGGAGCCCGGGGATGGTATCGCCGCCGATGGAGGTGTTGGGGTCCTGCGTGGTTCAGGTCCAAGTCCTGAGTCGCGCCGCGATCTGGAAGGCGACACTTTTGGTGGCCGCAGCTTAACTTAGAAAAAATTGATCTGCTTTTTTCTTTCTTTAGTAAATACTAATCAGACAGAAAAAGAGAGAAGATGCACAATTTTATATCTAAATTTTCTTAAGTCATGAAGATGTCCTTTTTTATCTCTGTCAAAAAACAGACATTAGTAGTAGGCACGTTTACTAATCTCGTAACATCCACCCGGACCTGGTATGTGTTGGAATGACACGCAACACTGAATAGTACTGATTCCTATTTAGATTGAAAATGTTGGCAGAACGTACCGAGAATATGTACACTTCTTTTATTGGCAAACCTATGAATGAGACAACATATAAAAGCATATGAACAAGAAAATGAATATAAAATATGAAAATGAGAAAATTATCCCTCAACATGTAATGATCAGCCGATGGCATAAATGCCATATTGCTATTCTTTTGTTTTTTCAAAAACTGCAGAAATGAAGTTTTTTTACTTCTCTTTCACGTTGTTCATATTTATATCGGCAGCAATTTGTTCACATTGTTATATTTATGAGTAAAAGTTCTTTAAATAATGTTATATGAAGTTTATATAAAACGTTTTCTGTTAACCCTAGCTAAAAATTTCGCATTTCAGAAACGCTCAAACGCCATTTTTTTTCAAAAACGGCTCCAAATTTGTTTTTCAAACATTTCTAACGAATAGTGTAAAATGATGCAAAGTTCACTTTGGTGTTGCTTTTTTCAAAAACTACACAAATGTAATATTTTGAAAGATCTCTCACGCCGTTGATATGCACATATGCAGCAGTATGTAAACACTATTGTATTTGTGAGTTAATGTGCTTCAAATGACTTCTAATGACGTTTTTCGAAAACCTTTTCTGTGCAAAAGAGCTTTAAATTTACAATAGTGCTTAAGCGCCATTTTCTTAAAAACTGCTTCAATTTTTTCAAAGAAACTTGCCATTATACGAGGTTTTACTGATCTGTAATATTCTTAAAATAATATTTCCCTTTGGGTATTAGGAAACTGACAAATTAAGAAATTTTAAAAATAAAATCTTATTTGGACTGCGATAGATGACACCTAGCAAGAGTATATGGCAAGTTCCTATAGGTAGCCGAGACCAAAAGAATAGAAAACAAATACGGAAATGTCTGTGCCATTCTATAGCATCACTAGTTAATATTGAAGTAAAGTTCATCATTTAATTAATATGTTATTAGCTCAGCTTAATAAAATTATTGTTCGCTTAATTATTATTGAATGTCTTCTCAAAATACAGAAAAGAGTATTGTATAATATAAATTAGAAGATCCGCGAAATGAAATGTCTAAATATAATTTATTTTTTAAATCTGTCCCAACATTGGTGTAGTTGCCGCCCTCTCTCCCCTGAATTTCGCCCCTGAAGATATTCTTCATTTATTCCAAACTTAAGTGATGTTACTCCAAATTTATCTTAACTTCCGAATTATAAATTCCCAACATCTTTCATTTTTGTTTATCTGCAGCTTTGTTTTTTAACTGCAGCTTCGTCGTATGACTTAAATACATTTCATACAGCCACTTCCTTTCGATAAGATTAGCAATCATGTCACATCCTGTTATTGTCAAAAGTTTCTGTAAAGCTGCTTGCGGATCAAAGAAGAACAACCTACGACAGAGCATTGCAGCATTTCAATCCAAAGCGAAGATTCGAACTGCAAAAAGATTCCGGGGGGCTGGGCGAATCTACGTCAAGAAGCAACTCTCGCGCCTAAGGCGACACGACAGGTAGGTCCCCGCAGCCTGCCAGTAGGCGCACTCTGTTATCTCGCGCGACACATTACCCTGAATTCGTGGAAGAGTTGAAGGGGCTGGCTGTATGTTGCCTGTTCTTTCCCATCACCGTAAGGCGCCCTCAAGTCACATCCGTTGGCCCTTTCCAAGCGAGTAGAAGCAATTGGGTAGTTTTGGAGACAATACTTGTTGGAGTCTGCTCGCCGTAGCCCTTAGTGTTCACTACAGGGGCCTAATTGGGACTGATCTCCTTCCCTACGTTGGCTGGTTACATAAAAATAATATCGAGTGTTTGTTTTCTTTATTACACGTATTGCGGTTGTATATTTGTTGTCGTTTTTTAATAATTAGGAACATCGTGTAGGCTTACTTTGATTCCTGCTTCCGATGTTTTAGCACCTCTTATAACATTCTCTACTAAGTATCGAGATGATGTGGTCGTCTTTTTTTCGACATTCTACATTGCTTTAGTTTTGTTTGTTGCGTTCAAAAATCCTGATTATTTTTCATTATTATTATTATTATTATTATTATTATTATTATTATTGAAATATAAGTAGCAGTAATTAAGAAAGCAATAGTTTAAGAGAAGATTGGTTTAAATACACCGAATAAGATGATTTTGGTCACAGGGGTGCACAGAATGAATTCCAGGGAGACCGCAGGCCCTGTGAACATTTTCTAAGGGACACCATCGTCATATGTAATTAAACATTTTATTTTCAATCTATTATTTTCCTGTTTTAAAGCTGTAAATGAGGGATTGTTTTACATTATATTTCATGTGGATCATCTTTTAAACTGCTGCAGTCATCAGCGATTATTATTATTTTATGCATCATTAACATTTCGTGGTTATAATAAACACCGAAAAATTAATTACAATAATTTTTCACAATATTTTAATTTAATTTGCCAAATCCAGGAAATAAGGTAATTTCTTTTACAACCTATGGGGAAGAGGCTTGTCAGATCTGGCAACCCTGCAAATAGCGCAGCATACAATCATTTGTATTTGTTAATGCTAATCATTTAAGTTATAATTTATAATATTTTTTTTAATTTTTTAGTAAATATGTCGTAATACAAATATAAAAACGTTCAATGGGAAAGGAACCTAAAACGTAGGTGGCCTCAATGTTATTTTAGGGTGTGCTCGCCTATGATAGGAGTCTTGGATCTCGCACAGTGAAACCTTGTTCGTGATCACAATGGCAACCATGTTTTCCCGTATTCTAATGTTTTATATATTATTCAATGTAAGAGATATTTTGTGTTTTTAACTTGTAATATTGATTGAGTAAACATTGATAGTGTTCTGAAATAAATGTATTCAGAGAACACTGCCATTGAAAGACAGAAGAAGTCCACCTGTTAAAAATTCTAATTTCTAATTCTGATGCAAGAAATTAACTAAAAAATCGTGTGCACAATAAACCAAGACCTGCACTTAAACAATTTTTTTTGTTGTTTTTTTTAATTGAAAAACTATCCGTGTCCAGGCCCATCTCGATAAGGTTTTCGTCCAGTTTCCCCGATCCTCGAGCAAATGCTGAGATGGCCCCTTGTTTTGCTTCTGGACAGAAATGTAACTTCAAATTAACTTCTCCCCATAGCACGTCACACACAGTTTTTAACTGTTTTAACTAACTAACTAACTAAATAAATAAATAAATACGACAAGAGATATATTTCACATGAGAATACATTCTGTAGGTCGCAACCGCCGCGTTGAATCACATAATTTCTCGGACCTCTGTGAATGGATTCAGTATTTCAATATTGAAATTGAATTTATTTTTTGAAAGATTGTATGTGCTAAGAACGAATTTATTTATAAATACGAAGCTTAATGAACAGTGAATAATTCAATTCAACTCTGTTGAATATACATTTAACTAAGAATAATTCTACTGTATCTCAAGTCAGAAAAAAATAAAGAAATTGTGAACGCAGTAGGCTAAATCTTATATGACAATCTGTAGCAAAGCACCTAATTTAGTAATTTATTGAACTGATTTTTATATTTATATTCAATTTCTCATAATTTATTATGTTAATTTCATTGCTGAGGCTGTCTGTGCTCAAAACCTATACATTTCACTTTTAATATCTTAATATTAAATATCTTAAATTCTATTATATAATTTTCACCAACACACAATATAAGCAAATGGGAGTAAAAAGGTAATATAGAATTTTTTTTAAAATTTAAATTTTATGAATTTATATGTTTAACAAATATAACAATTTATCACAATTTCATAGCCTTGAATATCTCATCAATTTGTTTATCAATATATTCTTTTGGCTCATTTACCATTTTCTCAGTATTTTTATATTCCTTGGTTTCTCAAAACTGATCGTCATTAAATTCCAACTTATTGGATTAAATAATATACCGCAGATTGAATTGCATTATCTTATGACATTTCTTTATTGCACTTTGGGTGTACAATAATCTTGTTACGGAGATTCTAGATATCTGCTGGTTATGAGCGGTGTGCGATGTTCACTTGTTTCCTGACACCCCTTCCACTTAACGCTACCAACCTAACAGAAACAAGAGGGCAAGAGGGAATCATAGGAATGGACACGCATAAAATAAACAACATTGGAAAGATAGATTTAAGCAAATGTTTTGCAAAAACGGCTCATAATTCATGAATTCATTTCTCTTAAAGCATCCGTAGCCCAGAACGTATATTGGCACAGTCTCGGGTGATCTTGGCTCCGTATATTCTGGGCCACGTGCATAGCTATGTTTTCGTGACGAACAACCCGTTGTGGCAGTCTTCTAAGAAGGGGACGCCAACTGGATCCAATGTTGTTTGTGTGAACCTCTGTTACAAGATCCACAAAGTGAGAAGAGTGGTTCACTGCCCACGGATAAAGTTGTATTGATCCAGCTGGCTGTACCCCTCCAGAGATCGGTGAAAATCGTGGTGCTGGGATCCACATGCTTCAAAATCAATTGCAACAGTATGGTCGAAACCCTTCCGCTATTGGGGCACCCTTCCAGGCGAACATCTCTAGTTTAATGGTCAGTCATCTCCAAAACTCTTCGTCCTTCTACAACACGACCACGATGATATTTTCGGCGGCCCATCTTGCATTCGTCAATTTTAACGCTATGGTTTTCGCCTCCGATGGTTCGTATCTTAAGTTCTTTTAGAGCACGGTGGGGGTAATTCACGAACAAGTGAACACCGCACTCCACACAAAACCAGCAGATTGCTCGAATATCCCTCGTTTCTCTTAGTAATGCATATTTCATGATATTGCTCTGGTAGATCTGTACAATTAAAACCGACAGTTCTGACCAATTAACACCTACTTATGTCATAGTGTGTTGTTTCTTAAATAGGATTTCAGAGGGCTATAATAATTCTTTTTTGAGTCATTTTGATAATTTTCCTCTGTATACTTAGTAGTGATTCCACAGTTTTGTTATGCAAGACCTACCATCCCCTAGCTCAGCGCTGCATCTCATCATCCAATGGGATTCCGCAATCACCCTGGGGAAAATATGCACAAAACTGTCACTACGCCTGCAACGTCCCTTTTCTTCATCGTTTTCCTACAGAATCCTTTGTCTGACTCCCTCCTTTTCCCTTAGTATTGCTCTCTTTATTAAATGCACTTCGCGACAAGACATGCCTGTTCGCCCTGAGGCCCTGACAATGACACCACAAGGACATCACATTCAAACAGGCGAATAGATTGGCGCTGGATCTCATCATCCAGTGGGGTTACGCCATCCCCCTCGGTAAAATATGCAAAAAACTAACACTACGCCTTCAACGTTCCCTCTCTTCTTCCATTATCTCCTGAATCCTTTGTCTCTGTGTCTCTCTGGTTTTTCCTTTCTCTTGCCCTCTTTCTGTATTAAACGCGGTACGTACGCAGACATGGCGATTGAGAGCGTAGAACTTGAGGCAGATGGCGTTAACGCCCTGAAGATGACATCACAAGGAAATCCCTTTCAAACGGACGCGTATGTAAGCGCTGGATCTCATCACCCAATGGAGTTACGAGTTACATTATCTCGATAATCCTTTGTCTCTGTGACTCTGTGGTTTTCCCTTACCCTTGCCCTACTTGTCTATTAAATCCGGTACACCAGAAGACGGTTGACCGGTTCCTCTAAATCCGGTTGAGAGAGTTGAAATGGGAGCCAGATGACTTTGCCGCCCTGAAAATGACAGCAAAGGAAATCGCTTTCAAACGGACGTGCAAAATTAGCTCTTTGAAAAAAGATCATGCACAAGTTTTTGTAAAAATAATAGTTTTTGCGTAATATCTGTTTGAAATTAATGAAGCCTCATGGGTGCTCCGTTGTACCTAACGATAACATTGTTATATTGGGAGAAAGTATGTGCTGTTGTAGCCCTATTAGTTCCTTTTTCTTTGCTACATACGCAGTAGAGAGAAAATTGTGTAAAACTGCGGGAGAAAGCGGCGAATTTTCAGGCAACTTATTGCTGGGTTTAGGAAAGGATAAGTGAATAAATACAGTTGCTCAATTGAGAAGAAAAATATCCTCAAATACCTGGTATACCCAGACTCCTTGTTTTGTGGGACTGTGATACCGAAAAATCGATTGACTGCAAATTAGTCCGTTCGTGTGTGAACAACGCTAGCGGCTAAACCGTTCAGTCGATTTTCTCTAAAACTGACATTCCATTTTTTGATGTGGCTGATGTCTTGGCCCGTTCAATTAGAAACCGATATTTTAAGTTTTGGAGGTATATTAAATGAAGCCACTGTAACATTTTCAAAAAATGGCTTCGTTTTTTATTGAACTTTGTTGTTGGATAGTGTGAAGGACGTTTAAGAGTACAGATCTTTTTTTTTTTTTCATTAAAATCACTGATTTTTTCGAAAATTGCGAAGAAGTTTGAAAAAGTTAAAAATTTCCCCACGATTTAAATATTAAAGATGGATATTTTTCTTTTTAATAAAATCTGTTCCTCAACGATATATTTTATAAT